ATATAATCATTATAACCATTAGCATATAATCATTATAATCATTAGCATATAATCATTATAATCATTAGCATATAATCATTATAACCATTAGCATATAATCATTATAATCATTAGCATATAATCATTATAATCATTAGCATATAATCATTATAACCATTAGCATATAATCATTATAACCATTAGCATATAATCATTATAATCATTAGCATATAATCATTATAATCATTAGTATATAATCATTATAATCATTAGTATATACAGTATATACTCACCAGGGGGGTCAGCTGCGGCAGCCGTGAGCAGCAGCAGCGGCAACAGCGGCAACATCTGTCAACAAATATACCTTAATTAAATATCTCTATTTGATTAATAATCGATTATCATGTATATTAATTAATATACAGAATAATCTATAAATCTATGTCAACGAGGATAATTCCCTTCCTGTGTTTACTAATTAATATACAGAATTAGCTATAGTTCTAAAAGAAGATAACTCCAATCGTGTTTATTATTCGCAATTTAAATATTTTAATTGACACTTTGGTTGAGTAAAATGCGTTCAAAACTGTAATTAGGAAGTAATGAATGATTAAGGAATAATAAATTTACAATTGAATTATTTAGTTATCATTTCATTCTAGTTTCAACAACAAAATTCAGCGAATGAGTCAACAAAATTCAGCAAATGTGTCAACAAAATTCAGCGAATGTGTCAACAAAATTCAGCGACTGTGTCAACAAAATTCAGCGAATGTGTCAACAAAATTCAGCGAATGTGTCAACAAAATTCAGCGAATGTGTCAACAAAATTCAGTGAATGCGTCAACAAAATTCAGCGAATGTGTCAACAAAATTCAGCGAATGTGTCAACAAAATTCAGCGAATTTGTCAACAAAATTCAGCGAGTTTTACGGCGTGCCACTTCCGGTCACACTTCGCACTTTCTCAAACCCTGCCCCATCCCCCCTTCCCCCCTTCCCTCTTCTTCCTTCTCAAACACAAAGGGGGTTGGGCTGGGGGGTTATTCTCAACCCCCAAAATCCTTCTTCACAACCCCCCTCCCCTTTTTTCACAACGATCCCGTGTCTTCTCCAACCCTTCTTCTTTCGTTCTTTTGTTCCCCTTGTTCTCCACCCCCCTTTCACATTGACCCCTCAACCCCTTTAACCCCCTCAACCCCCACCTCCCCTTCCATCATAACCGTTGGGCCAGCGTCGCCACGTGTGAACTTTCCAACGAAAGGTGGAATAGTGAAAGGAGAAGGAAGAACAAATGAGAAGGAAGGAAGAAGAGATGGAAATAAGAAGAATCAAATATATTAGGAAAGGAAGTATGAATAAAAAGTAAAATGACAACGAAGGTACAGAGAAGATGAATACTTCATCAATAGAAAATAATTATATTAAATATCAGCATCAAATAATATCATTATATTAATTAGAATCAAATAGTATTATTATATTAATTAGTATTAAATAGTATTATTATATTAATTAGTATCAAATAGTATTATTATATTAATTAGTATTAAATAGTATTATTAAACCAATTAGTATCGAATAGTATTAGTCTATTAATTAGTATCAAATAGTATTATTATATTAATTAGTATCAAATAGTATTATTATATTAATTAGTATTAAATAGTATTATTAAACCAATTAGTATCGAATAGTATTAGTCTATTAATTAGTATCAAATAGTATTATTATATTATTTAGTATCAAATAGTATTATTATATTAATTAGTATTAAATAGTATTATTAAACCAATTAGTATCGAATAGTATTAGTCTATTAATTAGTATCAAATAGTATTATTATATTA